TGCTCCGCGCTAGCCCCAGCACACCGTCCCCTCGAAGGTTCCCTAGCCTATGCCGGATAGGCACAGCTGCCGAGCGCCTGCCCCTGCCTCCTCTAGTCCCCTATGCCGATTACTGGATGTGCCTTGGAAGCCGGTAAGCACCGACACTGCTAGGTAATCTCTTTGATAGAGATAGACCGATAACAGCAACAAATGCATTTGGATTGATATGTTGTATGTGTTGACTTATAAATCGATGGATTTGAACATTGAATTGAAAAATAATCATTTATCCATTGAACTCAAATTGCCTCATTGTTATTTCAGTTTAATTTCATGTTGTAGAAAAGCAAGATGAAGATATTTTTTTATTGATGCCACAACTGGAGCAGACACGGATAGATCAGCCTATTAATCGGGTACTTTTTTATCCCCATATTAGTATTGTCATTTGTTATCTATTTTGTTCGATCGTTTAGCATCGAGTTTTATTTCTACTTACATTGTGTAATCGAGCAAAATTTTGTATGCTTCCGCATGATGTCTTTCTTGGGTAGGAATGAGGATTTTTTGAAATAGTTCTTCAGTTATATGTTTTTTCAAAAAAGTTAGGGTTGCATTTGTATTTCGCCCCGGGCCCCCGAATCCATGCAGACGGCCCTGAATACATGTGACCAACAATTTGTTGGTAACTAGAATCGGAGGCTGTATGGCGATTATTAACTTACTACTAGTGCTTCGTGATTCTCAAAAAAAAAACTAGTGCTTCGTTTAAGGTGATTTTTTTTTTTTTTTTGCATCACCCCCTCGGTGAAAAGCAGCAGTGTCTGGTGCTACTAAAACATAAAACTTATATTGAATCAGTAGTATTCGAACTCAAGCAAGTTAACACTGCACTTGGATTTGTAGTATACAAACTCAAGCAAGTAGGCAACACAATAGTTGCATAACTGCAATGAGTATTGTAACATCAACGTTACGTCATTTGCTTTACCACTAGGATGCAATGTTCAGACCAACTCAACAAGAATACTCATCATCTTTACAATAAAAAAGTGTGCAAGGAAACAAGCTTCCCAAAATTTGAAGGATAACATATATACACTAACCCTACTACTGTACTGAAAATCACCCTTCTAGTATTAACTAACAGAGTTCCTTCCGAAAGAAAACAAACATTTTATCAATCCAGCACATGCCAATAGCCTCACAGCCCTAAAGACATGGGGGATAACAATTGGGACGCATCAGAACAGCAACTTGAATAAGAGGATATAAAATTACTACAACACAAATACAGATCATGTGTACTAACATAAGATTGACAGCCTTTTACTGGCAGTCGGTACATCCTACTGTCCCATCCCATACCATCTACCCCTTGCCGCCCTTCTCTCCAGATCCAACATAGGATGCACAAGCATCCCTCTCACAAGCTGGTGGCAACTGGCATGCAACTCAACAAGCAACAGAATTCACTCCGTATGTGCCATCCGCACTTGGAAATAAACCATCAGAACCTCTGGGCTGCAGTTAAGCACTGAAGCTTCAGGGTGGTTAAAGTATTACATGGTGTACACGTGAAGCCTAATGTTCCATCAAAGCTGCATCAGTTTCTGATAATGGTGCTGCAAAACAGACAAGTTATCAGTTGGTGTCAAACAGGAAGTAAAACAGACAAGTGACTTGAAACAGAAAAGTGTGCGGCAAACCCTATCCTTTTCTAGACCAATTCAGACAACACAACTACTTACAAAAGAAGCACTGGTTTAGTTACAGCATACACATAATTACTTTAACAAGTTTGTAAAGACATACCAAGCAAGTCCTCGTATGCGTCGGGGAACAAGGAAGACTCCAGCAGAAGTGGCGGGGAGAATACTTGATCGAGAGCATCATCTGTCATAAACGACTGACCACTGACTGGATAAAAAATGTTTGCAGCACTGCTTGGATCATCATGGCCATTCAGTTTACTTGACACAGCTGGGGTTATTGGGCTGTCAGGATTGAAGTAAAGATCGCTTGTGCTCTTGGGTAACTTCGACTGTGACGACGATGGACCTATCTTTTGTTTTCTTCGGTTTGCCACGGCACCCACATCCTTCCTTGCAGCACCTGTTGATAGGGGAATGAAGAAGTGCTCCGAACCATCATCACTACTCTTGTCCTGTGGACTCTCCATGTTGCTCAATGGCTTTGATAGAGCAGCTTCACGAACAGAACGTCTGATGTCATGAGCAAAATAACCATCATTTTCTGCAAAGAGAATATAGAGTAGCTAATAATTAAATGAAACAAGACTCATCAAAAGCAGACTACAATCAGCAAAATAACAACATAAAGAAGAAGCATATTTTTACAGTTAGGCATTCCCTACAGTTTTCAGTTAAGAAAGAAGCTGATCTAGCCTATGTATTAAGATATGAATACCATGCATCGAACCATTTGCTTGATCTTTGGCTGAGGGGTGGGTAAGTGTTTTCTCTTCAGGCATAAGTTCTTGCCTAGGTTGGTGTGCTAAGGCATTCCGTCTTTGTGTCTGTGTTCCTTTTCCAGAAGAACTTGGAGTCAGACTAAATAGAGGAGGTAGCTTTAGAGCAGGACTACTTCCAGCCTTGCCGATCTGTGTTGAACAGAGCTTAGAAGTCATCTCTGAAACTTCGCCGCTGCTTTCCTGCTTGAAAGTAAATAAGTAATTAGAAAGCATGTGGATAAATAAACAGAGAAAGGTGCAAAAAATGTTTTGCACGCTGAGACTCTAACGTAGAGATTTAATAAAGATGAAATGTACATACCCCCCTAAACTTCCAGGTTGGGCCACATCACCCCTGAACTCCAAAATACCTGACTTAATCCCCACAACTTCCAAAAACCAGACAAATCACCCCCTAGCACCCTCGTGAGTGGTTTTGCCTATGTGGAGGTTGTTTTGTTTTGTCAGCAAGGCTTGGCCGAGGCACGTAAAGAAGGCAGGAAACGGCTGAGAGGTTCCTGCCTCCATGCGAGCTCACTGGTCCTCCACTTCCTTGATTTGGTGCAGGGATTTGGGCCGGCGCCGTCATCTCTCTCGTCTCCGGCGAGCGTTGCCGCAACACCCCCTCGCCGTCGTCCTCTCTGAGCACTTATGGTGACCTATAGAAGCTCCTGGTGCCTTGGTGAATCCTCCCGACCAACACCCAAAGCCCTTCCCCGATGCCAGCAGATGCGGCCCCGTCACCTCGGTTGTTCGCGAACTCGTCCGAGCACGAATTCGAACTCAGGGTGAGTTCCCGGTTCCTTCACTGACTCCTCCCTCTCCCTCCAACTGTCTCTCTAGCGCCTGCTCCAGTTTCTCATTCCAAACCGTCTCCGGCGGCGATCATGGTGCCATCTCCGGTAGCCTTATGACCCTGGACTGACGCAGGTGAGCTCGTAGCTTTAGCCGCTCCCGTTTGGTGCATGTGACGCATCCACAGGCCCCTGCAGCGCGTCTTCCGGCGTAGAGCCACCGCTGCCGCAAAGCTCGCTGGAATTGGCACGACGACGGCGTCCTGCAGGCCGGGCCAAAGAGTCGACGACGTAGGGGAAGCCGTCAAGAACGCCACGCCGGATTGCAAGACGAAAATAGCATCAGAGCAGACGGCTGCTGTTGGAGTGAGCTGTGCTGCTAGGAAGAACACCGTGGGAACGCAGAGGCCCAAGACTACTGCTGCACGCACGCGCCGCGATGATGAGGGTTGGCGGCTCATGGTGTGCGTCCTCCATCGTAACTGGCAGCATGACGCGGGCATTGGCGCCGAACACGGAGGCCTTGATCAACGTGCGTGGACATTTTTTGGCTGAGGTGGCTGCCATATCACGTCCCAGGCAAAAACACTAAATAAAACATACGAGTGGGCTACAGGGTGATTTGTCCGGTTTTTGGAAGTTGGGGGGATTAAGTAAGCCATTTTGAAGTTCAGGGGTGATATGGCCGAAACCTGCAAGTTTAGGGTGTTTATAATGTCATTGAAAAGGTGCCATGTAGCCTTTTGGCCTTTTGGCCTTTTGAGTTATATTATTGATGTCTTTTGGCCTTTTGCATTCTAGTCCTCCTGTAGCCTTTTGGCATTCTCATGTATGTGTATATATGTTGGCTTTGGCCTCCTAATAATACATGTTGCTTTCCTAACATGGTATTAGAGCTCTAGGTATTTTTTTTCGCACACGCAACTCATGCTGCTCCCGGTCCAATCTCCTGCACGGCCGCCGTTGCTCTCTTTCCGGCCGGCCCGTGATTTGCTCTTGCCTATGTCCATCTCCAGCTACAGCCGCTTCACGTCCATGCTAGCTAGCTGATCCATCGCTGTGTTGGATTCTATCGGATTGCGTCCCGATCGATCGAGCCGCTAGCCGCTTGCCTTCCTCCAAGGTCGCCGCCGGCCGTTTGTCTTCCTCCGCGGTTGCCGGCAGCCGGCCTCTTCAGCGCCGCTGTTGCCTTCCACGGCTGCCGACCGCCGGCCTCGTCAGCGCCGCTGCTGCCTTCCGCTGCCGTCTGTGGATGCTCGAGTGGTCACGCGTGCGTGCGTAGCTGCTGTTGTTTCGTGTCTGGGCATCTACAGCTCTAGATCGCGGCTCTGTCACTGCAGGACGCCCCGTCAGGCCGTTGCAGCCTGCTCCTCTGCTGCAGGCCAATCCATCCGCCCCGGATCAAGCCGCCCGGCGGTCCAGCGCTCTCGATCGAGCAGAGGCAACAGCTATCGGAGGTCAACCACTCCGTCCCCGCCCGGCCGCCGCCCAGCAGCTATTGGATTTTGTTTTTCTGGCCTCGGCTGTTCGTCTGCTGGATTGAATCGAGTCGCCGCAGTTGGTCTGCTTCGTTTTGGGCCTGGGCTGCTGCCTTTGGGCCTCGGCTGTTGGCTTTAGGCCTGATTTGTTCGTCTGTTTCCCTTAGAAAAAAAAAGATCATTCCGATGTTGCATTTTCCATACACACAAAAAAAAGTATGATGTATCCATCGGGCCTGCGTCTTCGTCACTGCCCGCAGACTTTTGTAGGTGTTCCCTATTGATCCCATCTCGCACATACGCCATCGCTCGGTGCTTGGTGCACGCCCGTCTGCATCGTTGTCCCCTCTGGCGTCTTCAACAGGCTGTGCTAGTTGCTCTACGCTGACTCCTCTCGCGGCTTCCGCGCGCGGCGGTGACCGCTTTACGCCGACTTCTCTCGCGGCTTCCGCGCGCGGCGGTCTCCTCTCGCGGCTTCCGAGCGCGGCGGTGACCGCTCTACACCGACTCCTCTCGCGGCTTCCGCGCGCGCCGGTGGCTGCACTACGCCGCCTCCTCTCACGGCTTCCGCGCGTAGCGGTGACCGCTCTACGCCGACTCCTCTCGCGGCTTCCGCGTGCGGCGGTGACCGCTCTACACCGACTCTTGCGGCTTCCGCGCGCGATGGTGACCGCTTTGCGTCAACTTTCCTGGTGGCTTCCAAATGCGGCTCTACGTCGACCTCTTCTGTCGTGTTCCTATCTGTGAATGAGATTGCGTAGCTACGACGCCTGCTTGCTGCTTGGGATTCTCCACCGACAGGTTCTGCAGATTCCATGACTGACTCTTCTGGCACCGAGAAACCACTTTCTACTCATTCAGGTACATCCTCATGGATTCTTGATACTGGAGCATCTTTTCATATGACTTTTGATTCTTCCACTTTGACCTCCGTTCGACCTGTCGAGTCTCCTGTTCACGTTCTTACAGCTGATGGCACTCACCTCCCTGTAGCTAGTCGAGGCACTCTTAGGACTTCTTCATTTCATGTTCCCTCTGTCGCTCATGTTCCTCGACTTACCATGCAGCTCATATCTGGTGGTCAGATTGTTGACTCTAGTTGTAGGGTCATTCTCGACTATGATTCATGTTCTGTTCAAGATCGTCGCACGGGCGCTCTGCTTGGTGCTGGCCCTCGACCCTCTGATGGTCTCTGTGAGCTTGAGTGGCTTCGTCTTCCCTCTGCTGCCACCGCCACCAGTCTCACAGCCCATGTTGCTGCATCTACCAGCTCTTTTCAGCAATGGCATCATCGTCTTGGCCTTTTATGTGGTTCTCGTCTCTCATCTTTAGTGTCTCTCATCTTTAGTTCATCGTGGTGTTCTGGGGTATGTCTCCGGCAACGCTTCGTTGGATTGTCTGGGTTGTAGGCTTGGTAAGCAGATTCAGCTACCCACCCTCACAATGAGTCAGTGTCCGAGCGTCCTTTTGATCTCGTTCACTCTGATGTTTGGGGTCCGGCTGCCTTCGCTTCGAAAGGGGGTCATCACTACTATATTATCTTTACAGACGATTTTTCTCGGTACACTTGGATCTATTTCATGTCTTCTCATAGTGAGATCTTATCTATATACAGAAAACTTGCTGCCATGGTTCATACCCAGTTTTCCACTCCTATTCGTGTTTTCCGCGCAGATTCAGCTGGTGAGTATATCTCCCATGCGCTGTGAGGATTCCTTGCTGAGTAGGGTACTCTTCCTCAGTTCTCTTGCCCTGGTGCGCATGCTCAGAATGGTGTGGCTGAGCGCAAGCATCGTCACCTTCTTAAGACGACGCGTGCGATGATGATTGCCGATGATGATTGCCGCCTCTCTTCCGCCTCACTTCTGGGTTGAGGCTGTTACCACTTCAACCTATCTCATCAACATTCAGCCTTCTACTGCTCTACAGGGTGGTGTTCCTCTCGAGCGTCTTTCTGGTCATCCTCCGGATTATTCGGCGCTTCGTTTGTTTGGTTGTGTCTGCTATGTTTTGCTTGCCCCTTGTGAGCGCACCAAACTGACCGCTCAGTCTGTTGAGTGTGTCTTTCTCGGATACAGTGATGAGCATAAGCGCTATCGGTGTTGGGATCCCGTCGGTCGTTGGATGCGTATTTCCGAGATGTGACTTTTGATGAGTCACGTCCCTTCTACCCGCGTCCATCCTCCTCGGCTTTTTCAGCGAGGACATCTCTTTTCATACGTTTCCGAATACACCTCCCCCTGTGCCCAGTATTCCTATTCCTCGTCCTGCAGTTGCAGATCCGACGCCGTCCTCTCCTACAGATTCTTCTCCCTCATCGCATGACTCTCCACCTTCATCACCAATACCTTCCCCTTCTCCACCTTCATCACCGATACCTTCCCCTTCTCCACCTTCATCACCAATACATTCCCCATCTCCACAACCAGTGATTCCACCTCTTCCCTCATTTCCTTTCCATTATACTCGCCGTCCACGTGTTGTGGATAAATCCACTGATGTGTCATCTACTTCTGGTGCGTCGTCGTCCTCATCGCAGACGACTTATGGTCTTCGGGCTCGGCCTCATCCTCCCCCTGACCGCTATTCTCCTAGTCAATATGGTCTTTCGGCTGTACTTGAGCCTACCTCTTATCGCGATGTTTGTTATTCATCCTGAATGGCAATTTGCAATGGCAGAGGAGCTTGCTGCTCTTGAGCGCACCGGCACATGGGATCTTGTTTCTCTTCCTCCCGGTGTTCGTCCCATCACTTGTAAGTGGATCTGCAAGGTTAAGACTCGCTCCGATGGTTCTCTTGAGCGTTACAAAGCTCGTCTTGTGGCTCGTGGCTTTCAGCAGGAGCATGGTCGTGATTACGATGAGACATTTTGATGCGGAGCATCCTACGGTCATCCCCATGGACCTACCATCGTCTCACCAAACACAAAGAGGACCCATGACAAGAGCACGAGCTAGAGCTCTCGAGACCGAGGTGACTTCTCTCCTTAGTGATATCTCATATGATCCTCACGAGACATGGCTACTACCTAAGTCCGAAATGTTGTGCATGATTAGGTACCAAGAGGACCCTCCCGAGGATGCACATGAAGATGGTCAAGCCCCCAAGTCCACGGAAGAAGAGAACCAACGGAAGAAGGCGAGGACAGCTTCCAGGCACCGGACATCCGGCCCCTGGAGATCTTCCCCACAGCCAGGAGTCTGCAGCAGAAGCTACAGGGCCCGGACATCCGGCGTCCAGCCCGGACATCCAGCCCCCCGCCCCGGGAATCCGGCCACCAGCCCGGACATCCGAACACGCCATCCAGGGAGCACAGAAGGCTGACCCGACAGCCCGAACGTCCGGCCGTCACCCCGGACATCCGGCTCCTCCCGAAGACCCGGACATCCGGCCCCTCCGCCCGGACATCCGGCCCCGTCTATCCAGAGAGCACCAAGGCCGACTCCGACAGCCCGGACATCCGGCCCCCTCCTGCCTGCGTGCAGCGCCTCCGGGCCGAGACCCATGTATCCCTTCGCCCCTTAGACTATATATACTCCCTCTCCACCTACGTTTTAGGGTCAGCGTTGATTTAGCTCATTTGTGAGATAGAGTCTCGCTCATCCATCTTGATCTACTCCTCGTGAGCGACCGACACCTCCATCCGGAGAAGATCCACCTGGATTCAAGACCTCCATCCAGAGAAGACCATCAAGACCTCCTCACGGAGAAGAACGGTTACCCTTGTATCGTCCCTTGTTGACTCTGGATCTTGTGTTACTTTGTGCCTCGATGATCTAGCACATGTGTGATCATATTCGTGTTGGTTGAGTGTTTTCTCTTGCGTTTCCCCGTGATTTCCCTCGTTCCCCTCCGCGTGTTCTTCGTGTTCCTCGTAGGGATCCTCTCCAAACGTGAAAGATCAGCCCCTAGGGTTCCGCCCTACATCACATTTGCTCCTGTGGCCCATATGACCACTATTCGCACACTTCTTGTTGTGGCCTCTATTGGCCATTGGTCTGTTTCTCAGCTTGATGTTAAGAATGCCTTTCTTAATGGTGAGTTGCGTGAGGAGGTTTATATGCAGCCACCACCTGGGTATTCTGTTCCTGGTGGCATGGTATGTCGTCTTCGTCGCTCTCTTTATGGCCTTAAGCAAGCCACTCGCACCTGGTTTGAGCGTTTTGCCTCTGTGGTGACCGCCGCTGGTTTTTCAGCGAGTGCTCATGATCCGACACTGTTTGCCCACCTTTCAGCTCGTGGTCGGACTCTTCTTCTCACTGGCGACGACCCTGAGTACATTGCCTTTGTCAAGGCCCGTCTCAGTGAGCAGTTTCTTATGTCTGATCTTGGTCCTCTTCATTACTTTCTTGGGATTGAGGTTTCCTCCACCTCTGATGGCTTTTTTATTTCCCAAGAAAAATATATCCAGGATCTTCTTACTCATGCGGCTCTTAGTGATGAGCGCACTATAGAGACTCCTATGGAGCTCTGTTCATGTTCGCGCTTCTGATGGTGAGCCCTTGTCTGATCCAACACGTTATCGTCATCTTGTTAGGAGTCTTGTCTATCTCGCTGTCACTCGTACGGATATCTCCTATCATGTCCATATCTTGAGTCAGTTTGTTTCTTCTCCTACTTCGGTACACTATAGTCACCTTTGTGTTCTACGATATCTTCGTGGCACGATGTCTCACCGTCTCTTCTTTCCCTGCTCCAGCTCGTTACAGCTCCAGGCCTATTCGGATGCTACGTGGGCTAGTGATCCTACGGATCGCCATTCACTTTCTGCTTACTGTATTTTTCTTGGTGGTTCTCTCATTGCCTGGAAGACGGAGAAACAGACTGCAGTTTCCCGTTCGAGTGCAGAGGCTGAGTTGCGATCTATGCCTCTTCTGACGGCAGAGGTGACTTGGTTATGATGGTTACTGGAGGATTTTGGTGTTTTTGTTACTACACCTACCACCCTCTTGTCAGACAGTACAGGTGCTATCAGTATTGCGCGTGATCCCGTGAAGCATGAGCTTACCAAGCATATTGGTGTTGATGCTTCTTATGTGCACGCTGCTGTGCAGGATCATGTTGTTGCTCTTCAGTATGTGCCTTCTGAGTTACAGCTAGCAGACTTCTTCACGAAGGCCCAGAATAGAGCGCAACATGGATTTCACCTTTCCAAACTCAGTGTTGTGGATCCACCATGAGTTTGAGGGGGGGTGTTGTTATATTAGTGATGTCTTTTGGCCTTTTGCATTCTAGTCTCTTGGCATCCTCCTGTAGCCTTTTGACATTTTCATGTATGTGTATATATGTTGGCTTTGGCATCCTAATATTACAAGTTGCTTTCCTAACAAAAAAATGGTCCATTTGGTTTGACAAATGCCCCTATGCTAGAATATCTCCTCGCTCATTTGAGAGGATTGGGGCCATAGTCATGTGACAGCCTCTTGCTGTCAACACTTCTGCCCTTCACGAATAGTCAATGCTACCATGAGTTCACCCCATTGCACCAACCAAAACGCAAGCCTCTTGGATCCTAGGATACAACGGTGACAACCCAAAATTTTCACCTTTCAGCAATTATATTATTACCAGGACGGAGGTGTTCCTCATAGCAAACAACCCTAATGATATGAAAGAAACTAAATATTCTGGTATGAACACGAGGAATGACAGCAGTACAAAGGAAAAATATACAATCAGAACAGCAGTTGCATTTTTGTCCATATTGAACAAGTTAAACAGGAAATACGATAAATCATCAAACAGTAGAATCATGCAAATGAGAGTGATTTCGTACTTCTGGTCTTCCAAGCACTGTATTTTGGACAGACAACTGTCTGGAGTTTGTTTGATCCATCGGATTACTAGGTACACTATTAACTTCTTCAGAAAGTTTTGTTATTGACTGCTGCATTGCTGGAATAGCTTCCTTGAGTTGATTAATTAGGCCCTAGAAAAGGAAAAATAATGGCAAATGATTAAACAATCAGTCAAATGCCACATAAAGTCGTCCTCGGTAAAACCTGTAAACGAGGTGCATCTTCGCAAGCCATGCTTACAACAGATGAATGGAGAAAACAGCATAGCTTCTTAAGGATGTTGTTATTACCTGTATACTGACTAAATGCTGGCGATGTTCAGCCAATGTTGCAGTTAATGAGTCGGCATGGCTACTAGTTTCGCTGTCAGACGCACTGCGGAGTAATTCTGGCCCCTCCCCATCATTTGCTTTGGCCTACACCATTAGTTGGCTGTATGTTACAAGTTATTACCGAATACATTGGTTCAGAACATGTGATGTGCCTGTACTTCAGGATGTGACAATACCACTATGCAATACCGATCTGTCATCAATACACCACCAATGCAGAAATATGCATGGGTGGTATTGTAAGGTTATTTTCATCTTTATAAGAAAAGAAAAACAAATGGGTATTAAATGTCCCTGTTACTAAATATTGTCCAGTCCATGGACCATTTAATCATACGTCGTTTGTCTTGTGTCCTATTAAAAATTTAATCATATAATTCTTCATAGGTGGTTATACTTGACCCAAAATAAAATATCATTGATTTAGAGAAAATGATGCATCATCACTATACCGGCATTGCCGGCTAGATTTCACTAACCAAAATGAAATCAAGTCAGAAGGTACAGAACGACCACACAAAACATGAGAGAAACAACGGTCTGACAGATTGAAACAATTAAGAACTGGAAGAACATTGCAGAAAATTTGAACTAAATATGGCTATTAACATTTTGCAGAAGTTGAAAAGACCTTGAAGCATGAAAAACAGGGACGTGGCAGGAGCTCTCGATGCTAAATTTTGGTTACCAAAGAATGCTGCTATATTGTATAAAATGGCCATCAAGTGAAATGGACTGCGGCAATTCATGAGTAATCTCCAGGTTAATAGGTGTGTCGCTTAGCATAAAAATGCTACTGCTGCACAAGGGCACGAGCCATAGTGAAAACACTGAAACTGAAAAACCCACTAAAGATAAGATAGGGACAAAGCAGTTCTTTGCCAGCTCTAGCACTGTAAAATATATTGATAGTTCTGGAGGCTCAAGGCCTTTTGACTATTTGCAGGTTGTGCCACAGATGATGTTGCTTGTCTGTACTCCTAAAAATCGATGTGTGTCTTATAATTCCACAGCTTATTATTGTGCAATAATCCTATAGTGGTTTGTAGCAGATCTAATGGGAGGTTGAACTTTCTCCCAGTCGAATAAATTGAAATGTTGACCCCATTTAGAAAAAAAACATTTGAGCTAAAAATATATGTGTGTGGGACATATTCAACTTACTGATGATTACAAACCAATGTTAGCACATAATCTGCGATGCTAAACTTTGTATAGGTGCCAAAATTCTTTTACCGTAGTGACCAAGAGAATTGACAATACTTTTTACCAAATATTACACAGAAGGAACATGCGCTATAACTTTGTACCACCTGATGGAAAACTATAACAGCATTGTGCAGAAAAAAGCTGGTCTAATATATAGGAATAGTTTACTCACAACTCACAGTGCATGACATTTGATGCTTCCATAGGATCAATGAGTTTAAATTAATATTTAAAATGGCTGCAACATATTAGAATGCAGAGAGAAGAATATCACATGGAAACCAAGTTTCGAAGAAAACTATATGGAAACCACGTTTGGAAGTTTCAAAAAAATCTGAAAAAAATACAGGATGTTAAGAGAATGATGTTCTATTCCCAAATTTCCATACGAAATTCCAAGTTCAAACAGATTACCATCTACAAGCTATGAAAAGAACAAATTTAGCAATGAATAGTGATGTTTACTGTTCGACACTACTCAATGCTGATTTAAAAAAAAATCATGCCTCGTAAATGGTAATGTGTTTGAACTTAGGAATTTCACATGCTAATAGAACATCACACTCTTAACATCCCTTTTATTACAATTTTTTCAAAACTACAAACATTATTTCCACGTGGTTTTCACCGGTTTCCACCAAAACTTGGTTTCCATGTTGTGATATTCTCTCTCTAGAGTCTAAGCTCTGGTAAAAGTGGTAGTTCGATCATGCTGCGAGATTAAATAAATTCATGGTTTAAAAAGGTATGCCTACGCAATTGCAGAACGCCTAGCTGCTAGACTGCTAGGCATGTGCTTAAGCATGCCTAGGTGTGTGCTTAGGCAAGACAGTTGCTAGGCAGATACAAGACTAGGAATTTAACCTGGTGCTTCTTTTAACCCTGCACAAATTAAACAATTGCTTACCAAATGAAGAGATTGTTTATGAATACGCTGCAAAGCATGAGTCCAACGTCGAAGAATTTCAGCTACGTCAACAGTTTGTTGGACACGCCCATTCCTATCATCTAATCTTGGAAGAGCTTCTTCCTTTCCCTGGAATAAAGATATCTGCTCCTGTTTGTCCAAAATTTGAGACGTTTCACCAGCTCGAGCTGATAGTAATTCAGAATGTGGGATGCTTGAACTCGTATCCATTGCTACTAGCAATTGCGATCCAGATATACGGTACCTAAAAGAACGTATTTTGTGGAGCAAGGTGAATAGTGATGATTAAGGACATTTGGATCAAGATGTAAAGTTTAACAGAAAGTGGATCACACCTATGCTCACGGTGTGCTATAAGATCTTCAATTGGCCCGGAAGCTAAGACCTCATGCTGGCCTGCAAGGGTATTTCCATTACTATCTAGAAGAAGCTAAAACATTACGCTGTCGTGCATGATATGGATAGTTTGAGCATGCTCGACACACATATTCTGGAAACAATACTTCGTTGACTGTACCTTTGCGAGCCAATATCGATTCCCACAAACGTGTTGCCTTAGATACCAAATGTGAATTCTGTCCAGATGAGCTTGAGATACGTTCGTCCCACAGTTCCCCCTCTAGCTTGGCTTTGTTCCTCATATCTTGTAGCTTCTCTAACTCCAGTTGCAGATATGCCTGAAAGCTCCATGCAAACATCATAGGAAATGAAACAGAACCCAAAACATAACCATCTGAATGGACTGTATAGAAGTTACCCTGTACCTCTTCAGCACATAGACTTCGGAATTCAGCTGTCATTTCATGGGCTAAATTTAACCAGGTTGTCTGCCTTTGAACAGCAATGTTTGCATTTTTAAGAAATTTACGCCTCTCAAGAGCAATCCTTGCCTGTTAGGAATATCACATATGAACTCGCAGATAAACTGATGAGGAACAATAGATGAGGAACATGAAAATATAATCATATGTCAAATCTGTTTGGCTACTTCTAGATACTTCTGTTGTGGTCTAGTATTTATTTTATTTTCTTTATCCACCTACTGTTTTCCAGAGTCTTCTAGTTGTGAGTAGCTATGAGTAGAATGGTGAACCTTAAATAATGTTTCTAGAGTATTCCAGCTATAAGTAGAAGTATGTGAAGGCTTCCCAAATCCCTATAAATAGAGGTCCTCACCTCTACTTTGTACCCAGACTATGTACCCCTACCTATAATAGAACTTGTTGTTCTTATCTAAGATCTTGGAGTAGATCTTGTGCCCTAGGAGTTCTGGATTGAACTCTTGCTGCCCTATCAGCCTACATTCGCCTCTAGAGCGATATCTAGCGCAGCACGTTGAAGTTGTTCCTTCAACACTTGTGCTGTTCACTTTGTAGCAGCAAGGTGGAGTTGCTCCTCCACGACCTTTGTGCTACTTCAGATGGCATCAAAGCCTCGTTGACCCATACTAGTTCTTGCTGTCCTCTTTGAGAGCAAGCTGCAGCAAGCAATGGAGCAATTGGAGAAGAGGATGGATGCTGCAGAACAACAAATCAAAGAGCTGCGTGAAGATCTTAATCAGAGATTTGATCAGCTGGTTGAGATGATAAGAAAAGGTGTCCCCTGCTGCTAATGAAGGAGATTCATCTAAAGAAGAAGATGTTCAACAAAGAAGGAGAGGTAATCTTGGAGCAAGACCGCCACAACAACGTGTTGTTCAACGTGCTTCAAGAAGGCCAATTTATGTTGAAGCTTCTAAAGGTGAAGAATATGATGATGCCCTTGAAGAACCAGATCTCTACGCATATCAGAGAGTACCCAACCCTACATATGCAAGAGATACATACAAGGTGAAAGCTGAGATCCCAACTTTTAATGGAAATGTTGATATTGAAGGGTGCCTAGATTGGTTATATGAAGTGGAGACTTTCTTTGAGGTCATGGAGGTTCCGGAAGATCATAAAGTTCCTTTGGTCGCATACAAGCTGAAAGGAGGAGCCGGTGCATGATGGCATCGCGTTCAAGAAGAGCGCAGGCTGAGAGGAGAACCTCGAGTGAGAACTTGGCGGCAAATGAAAAGTCTCTTGAAAGGGAGATTTTTGCCCGCTGATTATGACCAGATCCTATTTATCCAATTTCAAAATTGTGCTCCAGGAAATAGGACTGTTTCAGATTATACAGAGGAGTTTCTAAGGCTACAAGTGAGGTGCAACCTTACTGAAACTGAAGATCAACAAGTTGCAAGGTACATCAATGGTCTCAATGATGCTATCCAAGATCGATTGATGATGCAACAAATCTGGTCCGTTGATCAAGCACAAGCTCTAGCCTTGAAGGCCGAGAGGTTTGTGAGGACAAGAAAGGCAACTAAGGCTCCATATCCTCCATATCCTCATACCGAAGGCTCGTCTAGGAGTCAGCCTAATAGAGTGGAAGAAAAGACCGCTCCACCTAAGGCAAAACGACCCATCCAGAAGCAAGCTAGAGGCAAGGGTAAGTCCAATGAAGGCCCAAAATGCTATAAATGTGGTGAAGAGGGACACATATCCAGCAGCTGCCCACTAAGGAAATTTGTTAACACAACTATCCTTGATGGTGAAGACGATGAGGAAGAATATGAATCTGAAGATGTAGAGGGGCAAGAGGTTTGTCAAGAAGGTGAAGAGGTGGTATGTGTGATCCAGCGTCTCCTATGTTCCACACCACAACCTGACAACACACAACGGAAGAAAATATTTGAGAGCAAATGCACGGTGAATGGCAAGGTATGCAAATTAGTGATTGATAGTTGCAGTTGCGAGAATCTTATCTCCCAGAAGTTGGTGAACCATTTAAAGCTTGATATTCATGATCATCCAAACCCCTACACTATTGGATGGATCAAGAAAGGAGTGAATATGAGGATCACCAAACAATGCAACCTGCCACTTTCTTTGGGCAAGCATTATCGCTCAAATGTGTTGTGTGATGTGGTTGACATGGATGCCAGCCATGTTCTTCTTGGGAGACCTTGGCAATTTGATGTGGATACTACACACAAGGGCAAGGAAAATTCTTACTCTTTCATTTGGAACAAGAGAAAGATCATTATCTTACCAAACAAAACCGAAGGTAATACCAGGGGAAAACTATGTTAACTATCTCCCATACCTCTCATGAGTTTATGGAAGACTTGAAGGAGGCAGATTTGTGTGCTGCACTTGTTGTAAAAGGAGAAGAGTACCTGACTGTTGAAATTCCAGCAAAGGTACGTGGTTTATTGGCAGAATTTCAGAACATACTTGGAGAGCCACAAGGCTTGCCACCGATGAGAGGAATTCAACATAGAATTGACTTAATTCCGGGAGCAAGTCTTCCTAATCTTCCACACTATCGAATGAGCCCAAAAGAGCATGATATATTGAAGGAGAAAGTGGAGGAATTGCTGCAAAAGGGGCACATTCGAGAAAGCATTAGCCCATGTGCTGTACCAGCCCTGCTCGCGCCAAAGAAAGATGGATCTTGGCGCATGTGTACGGATAGTAGAGCCATTAACAAGATCACCGTAAGGTATAGATTCCCTATTCCCCGTCTGGATGATATGTTGGATCAGCTTAGTGGAGCAAGAGTGTTCACAAAGCTGGATTTAAGGAGTGGATATCATCAAATCCGTATCAGACCCGGGGATGAATGGAAAACAGCCTTCAAGACAAAAGAAGGGTTGTTTGAATGGCTAGTCATGCCATTTGGACTCTCAAATGCACCAAGTACCTTCATGTGCTTAATGAATCAAGTCCTTCGACCCTTCTTGTCCCACTTTGTTGTGGTCTATTTCGATGACATCTTGATCTATAGCAAGGATGAGGACGAACACTTTGATCACATTCGGAAGGTGCTAGAAGTACTAAGGGAAAATGAGCTCTACGTCAACTTGAAGAAATGTGTTTTCCTGCAAACACAGCTTCTTTTCCTAGTATTCGTCGTAATATGTGACGGTATTCGTGTTGATGATTCTAAGGTTGAAGCAATCCGAGAATGGCCAACTCCGAAGACCATTTCTGAGGTAAGAAGTTTTCATGGCCTTTCAACTTTTTATAGGTGATTTGTGAAGAATTTCAGCACTATCATGGCACCAATTACCGAGTGTTTGAAGAAAGGAAAGTTGCAATGGACAGAAGCAGCTGAAGCTAGTTTCAATGAGATTAAACAAAAACTATCACAAGCTCCTGTCTTGGTGCTACCTGATTTCAACAAGACTTTTGAGTTGGAGTGTGATGCAAGTGGAGTGGGCGTTGGAGCTGTCCTATCTCAAGAAAGGAAGCCCATTGCTTTCTTTAGTGAGAAGTTAAGTGAAGCTGACAGAAGTGGAGTACCTATCAGCAAGAATTATATGCCGTTTTCAGAGCGTTGAAAACTTGGGAAGTCTAATTGCTGCCTAAAGAGTTCATTGTTTATAGCGACCATCAATCCTTGAAGCATTTTAGAAATCAAAAGCATGCTGACCGCATGCTAGCAAGATGGGCAGCATATCTGGAGAGGTTTAACTATCTCATCGTGCATAAATCTGGAATAACTAACAGAGTGGCTGATGCTTTGAGTCGTCGTGCATGCCTCTTGACTTCTTTTGAAGCTGAACTTCCGGGCATGGATCAAATAAAGGAGTTGTATGAGGGTGACGAAGACTTTGGCCATGTTTGGGTAAAGCACGCAAGGGGCCAACCATTAGGTGATGACTATTTGATGCAAGATGGATATCTCTTCAACAATGATCATTTGTGCATTCCAAGAAGTTCTCTACGTGACAAGCTGGTTAGAGAGCTCCATTCAAGTGATCTTAGTGGCCATGTTGGACGGGACAAGACTATCGCTAGCCTGGAAGCTCGCTACTTTTGGCCACAACTAAAAAGAGATGCTGGAAAGTTTGTTCAGCGATGCCCAATATGTCAAACCTGCAAAGGCCAGGGTTATACATGCCTTTGCCTGTTCCTGTCGCTCCATGGGAGGACATCTCTATGGACTTTGTCTTGGGCTTGCCAAGAACAAGACGAGGAAGTGATGTTGTATTTGTGGTCGTGGATAGATTCTCTAAGATGGCTCATTTCATCCCATGCCGCAAAACAACAGATGCTCATCATGTGGCAAACCTATTCTTTCGAGAAGTGGTCAGACTTCATGGAGTAGTAGTACCAAGGTCCATCGTCTCAGACCGTTATAGCAAGTTTCTTGCTGCATTTTGGCTCACTTTGTGGAAGCAATTCAACACTGAATTGAAATTTTCTAGCACTGCTCATCCACAAACAAATGGACAAACGGAAGTGGTGAACAAGTTTTTGGGTAATCTGATCCGTTGCATTTGTGGAGAAAGAAAGGGACAATGGGATTTGGCTTTATCTCTTGCAGAATTCTCCTACAATAACTCAAAGCATAGATCCACAGGAAGGAGCCCTTTTTCGATTGTCTACACTAAAGTTCCATCACATGTGGTGGACCTGGTGAAGCTACCATCAAGGGGAAACTCAAAATCAGCATTGTCCTTTGCTGATAATTACACCGAGTTATTTGAAGAGATTTGCGGTGCTTTGGAAGCACAAAATCAGAAATATAAACAACTTGTTGATTGCAAAAGGAGGCCAAAATCATTCCAAGACGGTGATAAGGTGATGGTCTACCTCCGAAAAGAGAAGCTGCCTTTAGGTGTTAAAGGGAAACTTAGGCAGCGAAGGTATGGGCCCTTCTCTATCGTGAGGAAGATAAATGATAATGCTTATGTGATAGATCTTCCAAGCGATATGGGTATCTCCAACACTTTCAATGTTGCAGACTTGACTCTCTACCATCCAGAAGAAGCGCTCTATAAAGATAACACGAGGGCAAGTTCCAAACAACCAGTGAAGAATGATGAGGAACAATAGATAAGGAACATGAAAATATAATCATATGTCAAATCTGTTTGGCTACTTCTAGATACTTCTGTTGTGGTCTAGTATTTATTTTATTTTCTTTATCCTACCTACTGTTTTCTAGATTCTACTAGTTGTGAGTAGCTATGAGTAGAATGGTGAATCTTAAATAATGTTTCTAAAGTATTCCAGCTATAAGTAGAAGTATGTGAAGGCTTCCCAAAGCCCTATAAATAGAGGTCCTCACCTCTACTTTATACCCAGACTATGTGCCCCTACCTATAATAGAACTTGTTGTTCTTATCTAAGATCTTGGAGTAGATCTTGTGCCCTAGGAGTTCTGGATTGAACTCTTGCTGCCCTATCAGCCTACATTCGCCTCTAGAACGATATCTAGCGCAGCACGTTCAAGCTGTTCCTTCAACACTTGTGCTGTTCACTTTGTAGCAGCAAGGTGGAGTTGCTCCTCCACGACCTTTGTGCTCCTTCATAAACTCATAAAGAGAAATAAGCCCTGAGATAACCGGGTGTTTTTACTACAAGGACAAACACCAGAGACCAATTTTCCTCAATGGTAGCAAAGGTGGTCCATGCGTTTGGATAAATTATGCTATCAGGCTCAGTTTGTTGTTGCTGAACTGTGTTATGATGTGCGTGTTTGTTAAGCTACTGCATATAAGAACTCAAAAAGGATCCACTGCTCTTCCTTAGAAGTCAAATAAAATGTACATAAATCAGGTTGACTAATGGTTTTCCTCTCACATTTCATCTCGCATCTTCCACAACGAAAAGAAGAGTACATTTGCAAAATGACTAAGTAAGCGAGCAGCCAAACAATCATAATCCAACAGCAGTTCAACGCATCACGATTATATTATAATCCGCCCCAATGCCAAACGGAGCGTATATCTGCATCTAAAAATGGTTTGTGTACCCATCAGTTATTATACAAGCCTACTGGCCTCATTGGGTTTGCATCTTGTACAAGATTCAAATTATTCTGTTGTGTTTATTTCCTAGGTAAGAATATACTTACTGGAGTGGAATCATACTCAAATTCTACAGGCAAGTGAAGTTATCAGATTTCAACAAAGAAGGTAGCTTGCTAAGGGGTATATTATCTTGTCATGCTCAAGAAAGGAAGAGATAAATCTTGCTTCACTAAACTGAATTACTGTGCATAAATACAACTAAGACTGAAGTAGTGAAGCCTGCTGTATCCACGTTATTGGTCTCGCATCAAAAAATCAAACTTCACCTCATGTGAGGTGCCCGAAGTCCCGAGAATTAAATTAAAGTATACCAAACAAAACACTCGCCAGTCTAGAAAAATTTCATACTGATAAGAACTTTTAGGACTTCATGTTCTCTTTATAAATGATTTGGATTTTAGGGTAGAAGGTAGTCCTTGAAGAGGGTCACCATACGATATAACATAAATTAACAGTTCAGAAAATTTAAGAGCAAGCTATCCTTGCCTTCGTTACAGGAAGTAATGCAGCTGCATGAAGATAAGAAACGTCTGTGAGTGCTGCCGGCAGTGGATTTGATGCTACATCAGCCACAAATGTTCTCCTATGGACTTCCCTCAAGGCATATACAGAGAGTTGCCACAAAAGCTCAACAAATCTGCATCAGTGTAGGGAGTATAAGTTGTTACAAGGACAGTTCTGAAAATATACCAAGTTGTCTGATCAGCTGATTTACAAGCAGTTAGTTTACATCAATGACTATTGGACTTTGTTTTCTAAGAGTGAGAACTGAGTGGCTACATATTGTAGTCACGTTTTCGATATCTTAAAGATCAGCATGTTGTTCTGGCCTTCAGTATGGCACTTGAAAGTTGAAACAATACTTGACAAGTTGACCAATGCAATAGAACTTATTAACACATGTTCCAAATCTATGAAGGAACAATATGGCATCATCAACAGGCACATAAAGTTAAACGCAGTCTAAATTGTGTGCCTACGGGGTATGGTGACATGAGGTGAGGTGCGGCACAATGCCTCAAGCAGTTCACAGCGCAATGTGTTAGGCCTAAACACTCCTGTTTGGTGTGTCGGTGTTTCTCTCCTACTCGCTTTTCATGTGCTTTGTACTTCAGGTGACTTAAGGATCTATCACATTGAGTGGTGGTGCAACCTTGATTGCATTGCTCAATTCTCATAATACATTGTCTGCTATCTTAGGTGAATAGTCAAAGTAGAGAAGCATGTAGAGAACTCATTTCTAGCACAGTAAATACTATAATCGATCCCCCTTTTAAAATTTATTTAAAAGGAGCATTAAGCACTAGCATTCACTACCTATCTTCAAATTAGTTGATATAATATTTGAGAGAAACCATGAACTATGGATAGAGACAATCAAAGCCGCATGATTGCATCCAGTTTCAACAGACCTTTTCAACTTAGTAACAATGTTTCAATGAATGCAGTTAAGCTACATTGCACATTCGCGCAGCACGACAAGCAGCACAAACAGGACTAGCCGATTTCTGACCGACCAATACAGGCATCCATGTGTACTGACCTCGGCCCGCAGCAGGTGGCGAGAGATGAAACCCTGGAGTTGCTCCGTGGCAGCGCTCCCTGCTGCTCCAGCTCGCTGATGATACATTGTACGATCTAACCAAGCAACGAAACTAAAAGTCAAAACAAGGCTGCTTTCGCGTGCACCCAATTATCAGAAAAGCTAAGCAAATCTGCAAAATCCAACCTTGCGGAACTCCCTGGACTGCGCGGAATCAAAGATCGGCCATACTTTGTCGAAGTCCTGCGCAACGGAGAATCACACTCAGAAATCATATATCTCAAAAGAACCGGAAAAGGAATTCCAGCGAACGGGGTAAAATAGCGAAGAGCCGGAGAGGCTGAGGAGGATTTGAGGGCGCGTGCGTGCGTGCCTTGGCGGACTGCGCGGGGCCGCGGAGTGAGGATAGGAGGAAGTAGAGGAGCTGTTCGCCGAGGCGAGGGTTGGAGTGCCGGAAGAGGCCGACGCGAGGAGAGGCCGCGCCGGCGGGGGAGCCGAGGACGACTGGATCGAGGCCGAGGAGGAGGCAGTTGGTATACATGGCGCCCTCCAGCTCCGCCTCCCGCTCCTTCTCCCTATCGGTCGACATGGTCGCCGGTTTCTACTGGGTGGCTGGGTTGGGGCTAGGTTTAGGAGGAGGCGGGCGCCATTGGAGTTGGAGATCTCGCGAGGCGGAGGTGGAGGTGGAAAACAAACAAAAAAGGTAAAATACATGTCCGGTCCTAAGAGCATCTCTACCAGACTCCATATAATATCGACCCGCAAAACTTATCATTTACGATTTGCTGCAGATTTGATTTGAGATGAATTCGTGCGCTGCAAATTAGATCCTGTTTATGAAACTGTAAAACTAAAAAAAACGTTCATGGGAGAAACTTGTAACAACATTGACCATGCATAGTTCATCATCATGCTACATGATCATACATAGTCATCGTTATACTACATTGTACTACTAGGGAGAACCTGCGGTCCGTGCAGCGAACGCGGGCCTACGCTACCAAAACCAACGAGCTCGCGGCGGCGACGACGTGGCAGAGGAGCCGGAGGAGCTCATCAGTCCTCGTCGAAGTCGAGGTCGATGAAGACCTTGGCCTGCTCGGCCTTCATGACGCGCAGGTCCGTCTCCTTGGACGCGTGTGCCTGCGACGCCGCGACGCCCTGCTCGAGGAAGATCCGCTCGTAGTCGAGCTTGCGGCGGCGGAGCGCGTCGGCCTTCTCATCTTCCCTCCCCGAGTGCTCCATGATGACGCGCTCTAGGTGGTCATCCTGCCCCGGGGGTACCTAGTCCTCGGGGCCGATTACTCCTCGACGCGGTGGCGCGTCGGCCTCGAGCTTGACGGCGAGCGGCCCGAGCTCCTCCGGCTCTCTCTTGATCAGAGTGAGTGATGCGGAGCATCCCACGGTCACCCCCATGGACATACCTACGTCTCCCACGACACCACTTGGACCAATGACAAGAGCTCGAGCAAAGGCTATTGAAATTAAGGTGAAGTCGCTCCTTTCCGAACTACCACTTTTCACATGTGAGACATGGCTACTACCGCCCGAGCTCCTCCGACTCTCTCTTGACCAGAATGAGTGATGTGGAGCATCCCACGGTCACCCCATGGACATACCTACGTCTCCCACGACACCACATGGACCAATGACAAGAGCTCGAGCAAAGGCTATTGAAATTAAGGTGAACTCGCTCCTTTCCGAACTACCACTTTTCACATGTGAGACATGCTACTACCTCAAGCAGAGACACTATGTGTGATCAGGAGGATAGCCACGGAACAACTACACCCAACAACCAAGACGCCGAGGACACCAAGTACGAGGAACAAGAAGAAGAGCTGCCAGAAAATCTCCAACCATTGGATGACCAGACCAGGTCGGACATCCGACGCCTGAAGCGCCAGTCGGCCAGCCAAGTCCCAGCCTACGAACGCTACAGCGGCCGGACGACCGGCACCGACCGGACGTCCGACACGTCCCAGCGACCGAACGACCGAGCCCCTCCGGACGACCTGTGTCACATCAGAGAACGAAAATTAACGAAAATCCGAGACCTTCAGAAGCCCGACGACCGACAGCCTCCGGATGTCCAATGTCGCCTGACCAAAGCCAAAATGCCGGACATCCGGCACCTACCGGACGACCGAACCCTCACGAGCCACCAGACGTCCGGTAGCTGCTGGACGACCGACACCTTTTTATGCACAGCGTGTTGAGCCAAGGCCCATGTACCCCTTAGCCCTCTTAGACTTTATATACTCATCCTCTGCTGTCACGCCCAATATGCGACCCTATCCAAAAGGAACTCGAAGGTCCCATCAAGGATAGACCCGCATATTGGAACGCTTTTGCAAGGTGAATATCATTACATCAACATTACATAATAGATGGGGATACATACAAGAGGCAAACAATACCACATAAATACGACATCATCTTACATAAGAGCATCATTCGACTACGGATGAAACACAAACAGAAACTCAAACGACATCCACCCTGCTAGCCCAGGCTGCCGACCTGGAACCTATCCCCTGATCGAAGAAGAAGCAGAAGACGAACTCCAAAACAAGCAAACATCGCTCTCGCGTCAAGATCATCGCATAATCTGTACCTGCAACTGTTGTTGTAGTAATCTGTGAGCCACGAGGACTCAGCAATCCCATTACCATGGGTATCAAGACTAGCAAAGCTTAATGGGAAAGGAAGGGGTAAAGTGGTGAGGTTGCAGCAGCAACTAAGCATATATGGTGGCTAACATACGCAAAAGAGAGCGAGAAGAGAGCAAACGGAACGGTCGTCAACTAGTAATGATCAAGAGGTGATCCTGAACTCCTACTTACGTTAAACATAACCCAAAACCGTGTTCACTTCCCGGACTCCACCGAAAAGAGACCATCACGGCTACACACGCGGTTGATGCATTTTAATTCGGATCTGATGTCAAGTTATCTACAACCGGACATTAACAAATTCCCATCTGCCACATAACCGCGGACATGGCTCTCGAAAGTTTATACCCTGCAGGGGTGTCCCAACTTAGCCCATGATAAGCTCACGCGATCAACGAAGGATATTCCTTCTCCCAGGAAGACCCGATCAGTCTCGAAATCCCGGTTTACAAGACATTTCGATGATGGTAAAACGAGACCAGCAAGACCACCCGTTGTGCCGACAAATCCCGATAGGAGCTGCACATATCTCGTTCTCAGGGCACACCAGATGAGCAAGACGTCGGGTTGGCATAGACCCTGGTAGCCCAGGGGGCGCCGGACATCGCTCGGTTTCGACCAACACTTAGACAAGCATTGGCCCGGGGGGGGGCTAAAATAAAGATGACCCTTGGGTTAATTACTCCCAAGGGAAAGGTAGGTGGTGGTGAGGCAAATGGTAAAACCAATGTTGGGCCTTGCTGGAGGAGTTTTATTCAAAGCGAACTGTCAAGGGGGTCCCATTAATCACCCGACCGCGTAAGGAACGCAAAATCCGGGAACATAACACCGGTATGACGGAAACTAGGGCGGCAAGAGTGGAACAAAACACCAGGCATAAGGCCGAGCCTTGCACCCTTTACCAAGTATATAGATGCATTAATAATATAAGAGATATTGTGATATCCCAACAAAATCCTGTCCACCATGGAGCAATCTTCAACTTCACCTGCAACTAGCAACGCTATAAGAGGGGCTGAACAAAGCGGTAACATAGCCAAGCAACGGTTTGCTAGGAAGGGTGTCAAAGGTTAGAGGTTCATGGCAATTTGGGAGGCTTGAGGAGCAAAAGATAGGCAACACAGCATAGCGATAGAACGAAGCAACTAGCATAGCAATGATAGTAGTGAGATCCAAGGTAGCGGTCATCTTGCCTGAAGTCCCGCTAGGAAGATGAACGAGTCCATGAAGAAGATGAAGCCACGAAGATGAACCAAGCGTAGACGAACGAATCCTCACGATCGCAACGAAACGGGAGCTATCGGAAAGAAGCACACAACATGGTAAACACACTAGCATAAACATGGCATGATGCACAACCAAGTATGATGTATGTCCGGTTTAATGAGGCATGGCATGACAAAGTGCACAAACAATACTACAAGTTAAGTGGAGCTCAATATGCAACGAGTTGCATATTGACAAAACACCACATTGACATATTTAGTTTAATCTCGTTTAAGCTACCAAACAATATTAAATGTTGTTAAACATAACAAGAGGTGAAGCATAATTAAACTACCCATCTAAGCAAGTTTAAATGAGGCCGGAACAATAAACAACAATTCCGGAAAATCCTTATGTCCATATTTTTAATTAGCTACTGTTCTGCCCTAAACTAATTTTAATGTTGTTAAACAGTAAAACAAAGTGCGCCAAGTTAATCTATGCATTTTTCTACCCCATTTACATATAAAGTTTAATTAAAATTTAGCGAAACAATTTAGCATGTCATTTATGCGAATTAAAGCAAACATCAAGGTTAATCATTTTAAACATGGATGAAAGTGGCATAATGTGAAACTAGATGAAATTCTAAGCATTTTACATATATAGTTTGTTTAAATCCAAAGCATGGTTATTTATATAGGAGCAATGCAAGATGATGGCATTTCAGTATATAAGAATGCGTTGGAAAATGCTAAAATACACACACTAAAAAAAATATGCACGGGTCCGAAGCAGTAGAGTGCAGCGGCACAAATCGGGCCCAAGTGGCTGTGGGTGTGTGTGCTTGATGTAAAACAGAGAAGCAAGGGAAAAAAAAGGAAATCGGGAGAACCTGGGATCGAAACCCAGACCTCTCAGATTTGTAGTGCCTGCGCTAGCCAGTTGGATGGATCAGTGTAAGCAAAAAATTACAGAAGAAAAGATGTAGCCGAGGGGATTTGATCCCTTGACCTACAGGATGGAGGCAAGTGGCGCTAGCCACTGCACTGAAGGTGAGCGGGCGTCCAAAGCTGGGGCGCCACGCTATATGAACAAAATCGAGGGCCAGGCCTTGATTTCCATGAAAGCATGCTGCTCGCCGGCGTCGATGGTGTCCAGCAAGGCGGCAACCTTGGTGGATGCAGAGATGCGGCGGGGGTGCGGAAACCTACTAGGGAGGCTGCGGTGGGGCGCGCGCGGGCATGCATGCATGTGCGGGCAGAAGCTTGCGGCCATGGCGGCGAAGCACAGCGAGGCGAGGCTACGGGCGAGCAGCAGCACGAGCGCGGGCTGCGGGGCGCTGCTCTGGCGTGTGCGTGCTGAGCACGAGCTACAGGTGAAGCGCTGGTGTGTTGAAGAAACAGAGGAAGCATAGCAACCTTGCCGGTGACCAAAGTGACGACGGAGGAACCATCAGGCATGCAAGCAACCGGCGACAGAGGAGGCAACCAACGAGAAAAAGGTACAGGGAAGCGCGGCTGCTCACGTAAAGGGGCTCGGAGGAGTCGAACGAGCTCGGGGACGCGACGAATTTAGCCGGCGGCGAGGTAGACCCGAGGAAGAAGAAGGAGAGGTCGGCGACGAGAAGAGGCCTCCGACTTGGCGTCCGTGAAGCAGAGGAAGCAGGGGAAGTAGAGGTCGTCGGGGAGGTCGATCCGAGGCTCGT